TATGTTCAAATAGATCAGTTATTGTTCTTTTCTACAGACCTCCATGCTCCTATTCCACTCTGATTTGGCTATTCTCTAGCCCTGTTGAGCAATTGAGGCTTTTCTTTACTGTCTCTTCAACATTCTTCTGGGTTAGTCACCCTACTTGCTGAATTCCATATCTCCTTTTGTCTTGGTTTAAACTTTTATTTTGCTAGGCTACGACCTTCAGTATCTGTGGGTAGAAAGTAAATTTTTTGAGACCTTAATATACTCTTAACTCGATTGATAGTTTGGTTGGGTATAAAAGACTAGTTTGCAGATAAATTTCCTCCATAATTTTGAAGGCATTGTTCCAATGAGTTGTAGCATCAAGTAATGCTATTGCAAGATCTGAAACCGTTCTTTTTTCTGACCCATTGTATTTTGAATGTTACTATTTTTCTCTGAAAATTTTTAGAATCTTTTATTTGTCCTTAATGTTCTCAAATTTTACAGTGATGATCCTTGGTGTGGGTCTTTTTCTTATTCTTTGCACTCTATACCTAATGGGCTTTCAATTTAGAGTCTCATGTTCTAGAAAGTTTCCTTTAGGTCTGGGTAATTTTTCTTGTATTATTTTTTTCATTATTTCTTTCTCATTATTTTAATTTCTTTTTCTTTCTTTATTTTATTTTTTTTTATCCTCACCCAAGGACATTTTTCTATTTTTTGTTCAGATAGAGCAGGAGGGAGGGAGAGGAAGAGAGAGAGTGAGAGAGAAACATCGACGTGAAAGGAACACATCAAGTGGCTGCCACCCGCACGACCCAGCCAGGGCTGGGGACAAACTGCAACCAAGGTACGTACCCTTAGCGGGAACCCGGGTCTCTCTGGACCACAGGCTAATGCTCTAACCACTGAACCAAACCGGCCAGGGCTAATTTCTTTTTCTTTATTGATTTTTTTTAAGAGAGAGAAGAAAGGAGAGGCACAGAAAGATAGAAACATCAATGAGAGAGAACATCGATCAGCTGCCTCCTGCATGCCCCCCACTGGGGATTTGGCCCACAGCCTGGGCATGTGCCCTGACCCAGAATCAAACTGGCGACCTCTTGGTGCATGGGTCGATGCTCAACCAGTGAGCCACCCGGCCGGGCTTACTCGCTGTTTTATATGACCTCTTTCTGTAATACCTTTTACTGGAATATTGAATTTCTTGGGCAGATTTCTCTAATTTTCTTACCATTTAAAAAAATCTCTCTGGGGTATTTCCTGTACTTTATCTTTAAGCCTCTTACATTTTTATTTCAACTTTTTAATTTGTTTTAATGTTTATGTTTTCTAATTCTTTTTTTTTGTTGTTGTTGTTTTTTTTGTTTTTTTTGTTTTTTTATCCTCACCCGAGGATATTTTTTTTTTTTTTCATTTTTTCTTTTTTATACAGGTAGAGTGGGAGGGAGAGAGAGGAAGGGAGAGAGAGTGAGAAACATCGACGTGAAGGGACACATCGAGTGGCTGCCACCCGCACGACCAACCAGGGCCGGGGACAAACTGCAACCGAAGTACGTGCCCTTAGCGGGAACCGAACCCGGGTCTCTCCGGACCGCAGGCCGACGCTCTAACCGCTGAGCCAAACTGGCCAGGGCTCTAATTCTTTTTTATAGCATCTTTTTTTTTTTTTTTATGGATGAAAAGTCTTCCCTTATCTGTCTGAGAATATTAATTGTAATTATTTTTAAGAAATGTCCCTCTTTCCTCAGGATTTTTTTGTTGTTGTTTATTTGCTCTTATGTTGGAGACTTTCCTTAGCTGTCTGATGAACTTTAGCTGTCTATTCATAGTAAAGAGAGAGACACTAAACAGTTGATAGAAAATGTTTATACATAGTAAGGCTTGTTGATTAGTGGACTTCATGGTAGGGGGATAAGTTAACAAGCTAGATTTTTAGTATGGTTCCCCCAAATGTCACTCTTTTGTGGCATTTCTTTTAGGCTGTTTCATGTTTCCAAAGAAGAATTTAGTGGTCTCCTGCCTGTAATATATAAGCCTGGCTTGAAACATCTGAAATAGGGACAGGAAAGGGAAGTGAGCCTCAACCTCTGTCTTATGTTCCCTATGCCAGACTTCTTGGTCCTCAGGTCCTCTCCAGAAAATAAATCCCAGTCTGCTGCCAGGAAGAGCAAATGAGAAGAAGCAGTAATAAGAGGGTTGCTTGCCTGCCTGGGCAGGAGATGGGAGGTGCAAGGGGGGCTAACCTTTCTAAACATAAATTTTCGATCTATCTCTTTCTTGTAAACCCTTTCTTCTCTATAGTACCTTGTGACTCCACCTACTGAACCTTTTCAGAGTTCAACAGGTCAAACAACTCATTTATTATTAGCTTCCACCTCTCCAGAAACCCAGGTGCTAGCTTTCTCTGCTAACTCACTTTCATGCAGTTTTAATCACTTTCTATTTTCCCAAAAGTTGTTGAAATCTCTCCACTACTGTTATCCTCTCTCCTTGTTTTTGATTCTTAAGGGTTTGTACCTTTTCACTTTTCTTTATTTTCAGTATATTCATATTTTGAGGTTGATTTGCCATGTTTGACCAGAAGAATTATTATTAAAGAATATAAGTTTTTGCCCAGGCCAGTTTTGCTCAGTGGTTAGAGCCTCAGCCTGCAGACCAAAGAGTCGCAGGTTCAATTCTGGTCAAGGGCAAGTTACCTCAGTTGCAGTTCATCCCCGACCCTGGTAGGGTCATGCAGGAGGCTCTATCACATCGATGTTTCTCTCTCTCTCTCTCTCTCTCCCCCTCCCTCCCACTCTATCTAATGATAAATGGGAAAATATCCTCAGGTGAGGAATAAAATATATATATATAATTATATATATATAATTTTTGACACTAAGGAATTGAGTATATACCCCAATTGCTTCACTTAAAAGCTTTAATTTTTTCATTTATTTTTGGGAAGTGTGATTCTTCTAAATATTTAAGCTACTATTGCTACATATTTAAAATCACTATATTTCATATAATTCCATTACTTATCAACTGTCGAAGACATATGCTGTTGGAATCGGTTTCCAGAAATGATTAGTTAGCCTGGCCTGAGTCTTTCACACCTTCTTATCTGCACTCTGAAGGTAAACATCAGCATTCATAAGACAGCTAAGTTTAGGAATTTTCAATATTATGGATTTGTATTTCCTCATAAAGCCATCTCTCCGCTATTGAAATTGACCCAATAAACTTGGCTTCTTCATTTGTACCCTACCTTAACCAGCTAAGGTGATTACTCCCAGAAAACAAATATACTGCATTTTCTTTAGGATGATCTAAGAATTTGAACCTAATATGTAAACCTGATTCTGTATCTTAACTAAAGCAATTCCTAAAACATGTTTCTTTTTTTCGATGCATGATTCAGAATTACATTTTCATTTTTCTTCCAGAGTCTGTATCCTTATAACTGAGCTAATTTCCAGATTTGTGTCATGTTGAGCTGATTGGCTTTATAAACCTAGCATAAATACAAGCCAGCACATTGAACATACTCTTAAAGAGCACCTCCATTTGCTAAATAAGAAAATGGAACAGGCTTCTACATCTGCTTCCCCAAAGCTTTGATATTGGTGACAGAATACTACAGTATGTCTTGAGGGATCTGCTAATCATATCTGGGCCTTTGCCTTAGGAGCATGAGCTGAATGTTGGCCTGGTCTGTAATTGGACTCTCATGACCATCTGGCAGCTTCAGTGACATATTAGTGGCCTTGGCCCAGTTTCTAATTGGCATGTATCTGAATCCACAAGACAGCTTAACTTTCAAAATAAGAGAGGTCATCATATCTTTTTTATTCTTTAGCTATGATGCAATTGCTCTTTGCAGGTTTTTTGTTTTAACTGAGAAGAAGCTAAAATTTCAAGATTCCATGTTACTTTAATCTTAAGCCTTTTGAATCTATTTCTCTACTAACTGAAACAGAGTCTAGAAACTGCTGGTCCTGGCCCCATGTCTTGAAGAAATTATGTAGCATTATATTTCTTGCTCTGGCTTCAGGCCGTAGGCATTCTTAATCTGCAGACTGTCTGCAAACTTTAATAGAAAGCTTCATCTGTAATCATTTTAAACAGAGCCAGTGGAGACAAGATTGCTTTAGTTAGTAGTTTACCAGCTTAAACTGAATACTCTCTAGTTGGAATGGAAACTTAATCAAGGAAAAACTCAAATAAGTTTTCACTTATATTTTATATCTTATTTGGCAACTGGTTTGAAAATGTTGCATAAAAGATCCAGCACAGGAAACATTTTATATTCCTGCTTGTGATTAATAAATATGGAATCTGAGGCATTCTACTTTATAAATCAAGGCCATAGTCCAAATTTCCTGTTTTTCTACATAAAAAAAAAAGAAAAAAAGACATGGTAAAAATAGCACTAAACTCTATGAGGTTCTCAGGGGTCAAGGCAACAGGCAAAATCTATTATTCAAGATGTCATGGTGCCGACACTTCTCAGACCATTATCAGAAACATTCATTTTGCAGTCACTATAGATAGGTAAGACATTTGTTGCAGGGTTTATAAAAATATAAGTAAATATATCCTACTTTAGATTTTCTGTGCTTATTGAGAAAAGGAAAGAAGAACAAAATAAGACAATAAACCAGTGACTTGGAAATAATGGGCTCACACATTGCTACTTCATGGAAAACGCCAATCTCATCAGTCCAACTTTCTTATTACATCTTCATTTTCATCTTATCTGTTTCTGTCTTGTATTTTACAAACCTAGCTACTGTCTTTAGTCTTTAAGACCCTGAGCCATCACCCCAAACACAATGTGCACTCACATATTCTGACCTTTGTTCAAAGATTTTTTCAGTCTGTAAAGTAGCCTACAATGGGTCTTCTATCATCTCTCTGTTTATAGAATATTACCAAGGTACTCTGAAGAATATATTTATGGTAGTAGGTACTGGGAGATTAGTACCATTAGTTGATACTTCATCATACTAAGAGGAAAGTTTTCGCCTTTGTATTTTTTATAGCCTAAGGAATGTTTCTTGGTACCGCCAAAGGAAACAAAAGAAGATGCCACCAAGACCAGGAAGAGGAGGAAGGTAATATTGATAATTCCTTACAATGGTGTGGCCCTACATGGTTAACATCACCTTTTTGTACAGTGTGCTTTGATAAGGCAGTTATTGTAATTGCCACTTTAGAGATGCAGAAATTGTAAGATGCAGCGAAGTTTGGTGACTTTCCTAAGGTCACTTGTAATAAGTGTTTCTGTTGGAGCTAAAAATAAATTCTTGTGACTCCTATTTCAGTTTTGTGGAACACTAAACGCCTTTCTTACCCACCCTGTGTTTTCACTGTGGTCAGAAGTCAGACATGGGTTTCTAATTCTAGAAGGGGCCCAGAGCTTCCCTGCCCTCTGGCCCCTCTTCTTTTCTTACCCATTTCAATTTTTAAAACTTTTTATCTTAGAGTATTTACAAAAAGAAAATAATAAGCAGATGAAAGTAGTATAAGGCATTTCTGACTCTCATTTGGAACCATAATTTAAAGCAAAAGGCACCCCTTGCACATTAATTCTTGCCAATGAGCATATGGAAGACTCTTGCTCCTATACAAACTTACTTATGGCTCAGACTCGAAGAAAGTGTGGTTAGCTTTGACCTTCCACCACAGTTGTGAAAACAGGAGTGTAATTCTCTCCCTGCCAAGAAGGATCTACTGCTGAAGTCAGCAGAGGAAATATGATTGGGATTAGAGTAAAGAAGATGGACTCAAACCAATTACTTAACAGCAAGCTTTTAGAAAACTGTAGTGTGTGTGCATATGTTTTCTTTGCTTGCAAATGGCCAAATAGGAAGATAGGAGATGCCAAATTGGCTGAGGTTTGGCAAGTCCTTAAAGAAGTAACTTTAACTTCTCTTTGATAGTTTGCGCACTAATGGCCTTCAGGAGTGTTAAGTTCTTGGTGGCTCAAGGTCAGAACTCTAGCTAGATAGTTTAGCCTTGGCTGAGGTCATGCTAAAATGTTCTCACCGATGACATATTTTTAAAAGTTAATTCATTTGACAGAACTTGGATCATTCTTGGCAGTGGTATAAAAATGAGGATATTATGGAAGGAGGAAAAAAGGCTGGGGGTTGTGGGGTGGGTGAGGAACAGCTCTTTCTAGATCTTTGGTGAAACATTAGAAGGAAATGAGAAGGGAAGTTTATGATGAACATTATAAATGATTGTGTGTTCCTAGTACGTTGCAGGCATTCAGCACATGCTACACAAGTAACTCCAAATCAAAATAGATGTTGAACAGTATTTCCGTACTGCTTTCCATAGGACCTGTTCAGGACTGTATCTCCCAAGACTTGAGAATGGAAAGTGTAAAAGTCCCCCTTTTCAGTGGGTCCTGTGCTGAGATTACTCCTGTAGCTTTTACTTTAATCCCAGAAATCCAAACTGAGAGTCAGTGCCTCACAGACCAGGTCAGGCAAGAAATTCTCAAAAGTCTGCTCTCCCAGGCTTAAAGAGGGGTTCCACAGCAGCAAGATTTCTTGACTTTTAATAGAAAATAATACCCTGTTATGGAGATTCCTGTAAAAATATCAGTTCTCCTAGAAGTCTTTGTAACTAAGAGTTACAAGGAATCTTTTAGATCATCCATACATTTTTCAAAGCAGTAATGTCCAAGTAATATAATGTTTTCTCAAGTGTGTTTATTAGAACTTACATTCATACTCAGCTATCACTGAATGTGTAGTTTAAATGCCAGAGGAATCAACCTATCCTAAGTCAAATGCCATTGTAAAATCTTTCCTCCCATGTTTTTCTTTCTTCTCGTGTCTTAGAAGAAAATTACTGACATTCTTGCAAAATCAGAGCCCAAACCAGGGATACCTGAAGACCTGCAGAAACTGATGAAGGACTATTACAGTAGCAGTCGCTCTGTGATTGAGTTAGAAGAACTGAAGCTACCAGGTACAGCTAGGCTTCTTTGGTTGGTTGGTTGGTTGGTTGGTTGGTTGGTTGGTTTGGATATTTTACCCCTTTGGTTTTTGTTGCTTTTTTTTTCTTTTTAAAATTCTGAGGTTAGTCATTAGATGGACCCATTGTAAATTGCTAGCAATTTTCCTGATGAGCAAATCAGATTCATCTTTACGGCATATGTGGCAAGGTACCTCAGCCAAACATTTATTTTCCCCATGCTAATACTTCTTTTCTCATCCTCGTAGTTTTAATTCTTAGATGATTTCTTTATTAAGATACTAAATGGTATTTGTTCAATCTAATAGAAAGATTTTCATCATATTTTTATTCAAAAGTCTAATTGTTGGGTATGCATTTTTTTAAAAGCAATTCTTCAAGGAGTAACAATCCCTAAAGAGGATAGAACTGAAATAAAAATAAAGATAAATCACACATTTAAAAGTATTGATGTGAAACACAAACTTAATCCTCTTTTATAGACAAGAATGTTAGTTTTAATAAGCAGTTTGGTTTTGTTGTTCTTACCTAGATTTCTAATTATGATTTTGATTTTAGAATAGTTTTTGGGTCCCAGCCCAGACTTTTTCAAGCAAACTATCTAAAGAAAGGGACAAAATTCTGCTCTTTTAGCAAGGCTGACATATTACTCCAGGTGATTCTTCAGCCTACTATTGTTTGAAATCTACTGTCTTAGGGTATTTATAATTATGTTAAAAGACATTGCAAAATTCTTAAAATAATTTATTTTAATTAATTTCAAATGTATTATACATCCTGTAACTCTTGGGCAGAGATTGAAGAAAAGAGATGTCATAAACTCAAACCACAAACAGTTTGGGTACCATGCCTGAGATGAGCTATTTATAGACTATGAAGGCTATCTAATACTGCTTTTGGAAAAAGTCAAGGGCAGTTTGACTTCCTTTTTCCATTACAACTTTATGCTTTCTAGAGGCTAGAGAAGCTGAAAATCAGCCCGTCCCCTAAATTTTTATAATTCCTTTGTGATACCCTTTTTTTTTATAAAATGCACTTTGGATTGGAGACATGAGTGCCCTGTCTGTTTCTTTTCCAAAAGGGATATCGCTTAGGGAATTGAAGGAGTGCATTTCCACATGGGTGAGGTCTGGGGTTTTCACTCACTGAGCCCACGGCTCCAAGTGCAGTCAGCAGCCACTCTTCTCAGCACAGCAGTTCCTCCAGAGAGAGCTGGGTCCTGACTGCTCCTTCTCAGGAAGCAAGTGTTATAACAAAGCCTCTTCTCAAGGTTTAACTGAAAGCGTGGTTTTACTGTGGCTCAGTGGTCAATTTCCCTTTCTAGTTTTGTGTTAGAGTATACCTTCGACTCTGGAAGGACTTGTGAGATCATGGGACCACTGCTACCCTGTAACCTCATGGAACATTGTAAACCTTAATTCACTAGAACTGTCGAGTCAAAGGTCAGGAGAAACCTTTAAGGAGTCATTTGAGTTCCATAGTGAGTTTACATTACATTATTGCTGTCCTAGAGTTCAATAATACAGGTAGATAAGAATGTGTAGTCATGTGTTGGTTTAGGGAAGTAGAAATTTGTAACTATGTTAAAAATAGTACTATAGGGAAAAAGAACAGGTTTTTTCGTTTTCAGTTAAGAAATTAGGCCATTCTGATTCACAGTGATCGAAAGCATCACAGGAAAGAAGGTTGTAGCAAAAAGGCCCATCACTACACTGGTGAGACCAAGGACAGAGAGGAAATCTATGCTAGGTAGGAGGAGGGACACACCACGGGTTATTCGGTGCAGGCTCAGGAAGGGGCCTAAGTATAAGGTGACTGTGAAGAATAAAATATTTTTCCTATTCAGTTTGCTGAGTGTGTAAGTTGGTTTTGATTTGAGGTTGTTTGTGTCTGTAGAGCAGGAACATGTCTTTTCAATTAACATGGTGCACTGTGCACTGTTAATGTCATACACATGGGCACTTAATTAGAGTTTTGAGGCAGGAGTCACTTGGAGCAAACCTTGCTGTACTCCTGAGAGCGGCAGTGTGGTTTCGATCAGTGCTGAAAGCCTGTCGGCTAGCTGCAACTGAGTCAGCCGGCGACTTAGAAAGCAAATTCCCAGGCTCACCCCCGAGGAATTCTGACTCACTATGAAAGAGGGAGTCCATCCCAGGAATCTGTATCTTTTGTGAAGCTCTCCAGGTGAGTCTGATCATATCCAGACTTGGGAAATTACAGTTGTCAAGACCATCGAAAGCTCTATAACAGTGCAGGAGGCAACATCTTTGAAGTCCGTTACATAATGCGTTATACATGCTGGGTCACAATATAAATGTCATTTAATTTAGTAATAGTTTACTCCTTAGCACTCTGCTGTGTTTATAGACAAGCTTTTCCTTATAGAAGAAACTAGGACGATGAACATGCTGCTCCTTTTTTACCATCTCAGTTGCAGGATTAATAATACTACACAATTGCTACACTATGACTGCCATTGGTTGAGCAATATTTTAGTGCTACATTGTCTTTTATTGTGTTGTTGTGTTTTTATGTATTATTCCCACTTTTTCCTAATGCACATTCCAATTTCCTTTCCCTGTAGTCATTCACTCTGTGTTAACATGTTTTTAAATGTATATGTTCTTATAAACTGTCATGTTGCTGTATACATTTTATAATTTATCTGAATGATGTTGTGCTGAACCATTCATTCTCTGTCTTTCCTGACTTAACACTTTTGTGAAATATGCTTGTATGGCTTTATGTGCATCTAGTTCAGTGCTTCTGAATGCTGCATGGTATTCTAATGACTTCAGATCTGTCACCTATTGCTCATCCATTTTCTCAACTATGGACACCTCGATTACTTCTAGTTCCCACTACCACAAATAATGCTAGGGTGAACATACTTGTGCGTGTCTCTCTATAGACCACACAAGAATTTCCTTCCATTGTTTACTCAGGAATGTAACCACGGGGTCGTAGTGTGGTATACATCATACTTTTACTACTTTCCAGAATAGCTACACCACTTACACCTCCACCTACAGCTCATTAGAGTTTTTGTCACTCTACATTCTAGATAACACTTGGTGTTATACATCTAACAGTTGCCATTCTAACGTGTATGTAAAAGTTATCTCATCATTATATTAATTTGCATGCCAATGATGATAGTGAGTTTGAACATCTCTACATAGATTTGTTAGCCATTTTAGCTTTGCCTTTGTATATTACCTGTTCCATGGATTGAAAAATGAAGATGCTTTGAATCCATTGAATAATACAATTAGCTTTTATTTCATTACCCTAAGAAACTAGGGTTGTTGCTGCTATTGTTTTAAATACTAGACAACACTTTAAAAAAAAAAATTTTTTTTTAAATTAATTTTAGAAAAAGAAGAGAGAGGGAGAAAGAGAGAGAAACACTGATGAGAGAGAACATCGATTGGCTGCCTCCTGCATGCCCCCCACTGTGGATCTGGCTCACAACCTGGGCATATGCCCTGACCAAGAATCGAACCAGCAACCTCTTGGTGCATGGGTCAATGCTCAACCACTGAGCCACACTGGCTCAGCCTAGACAACACTTTACAATATATATAACGAGCCCCCAATTCACTGTTTTACAATGTTCAAGAACACACTGTTCACATTTAATCTATTTTTATTATGTGAAACAAACATTGAAAATAGTTGCAAAATTCTCTACAAAGCATGTTTCTCGTATTTCTAGACTCCTGTTTCCTCAAGGCCAACGATTTGACTCATAGTCTTTCATCATACCTAAAAGAAAGTAAGTAAACTCTTATTTAAAAAAATTATTCACCAAGTTGTTATTACATTAAAACATAAGTTCAGTCTCTTTAAAATAAAAATTTTCAAAACTACATTTAAAATCAAAACTTTCCACCTTAAACAGATTTTAAATGGAGGGGTTTTTAGGTCCTTCTTGATACTAATTTTTATTTAGGTTTGTTCTTGTTTTGCTCTGGCTTTGGAAATTTGGGATTTGGTCTCATTTTTGTTTTATAGCACATTAGAAGTATTGGTCTAGGAACCTAGAGGATAATTAGTGTTCTAGTCTCAGGTCCCCCACTAATTTGCTCTTTGACCTCGGACAAGTCACTGAGTAGTCTCTAGGACTTGACCTTGTTATCTGAAAGATAAGGAAGTTGGACTTTCTCATCTGTTCCAGCTATGAGATTCTGAGATTCTGTTCACATCTTCAGAACTCAGACCTAGGGCATTACATAGTCAGTCTAATTTATTCTTTTTGATATGTACTATGTGTAGTCAGTAATAACTAGATTATCACAGGAACTAGTCATTTATTTGTAACCAACGTTGGAGTATTTGGATGTAAAGATTTAGCATTCTTCTTTCAAACTCTAATCTGTTCTGATGACACTTAGCTTGAGTTCATAAATATTTCTCAGCCTCAATTCAGCAAATGTAAATGTAGGTAATAGAGTTTGTTGGTTATGAGAACTGAACAAGAGAATGTATGTAAAGTGCTCAGCACAATGTCACTGTTTAACAAATTTCATTTTAATCTAATACCTACAATAACCAGAGAATAGAATCTAAACAGTGCTCATATTTTATTTTACTTAAACACTAACAGAGAAGTAATTGGAGAACACTTAACTTTGGGGGCCCTATTTTGCTATATTTGGAATAATATTTTTTCTTATGGCCTTTTTCCCAGTCTGCCCCAAATGGGCAAAACTTCGGAAAAACCATATTGAGAAGAAATCTGCCCTAATGCTGATCATCTGCAGCTCTGCCAGCCGTGCCCTGGAGCTCATTAGGTCAGATGCTTCACCTATTATTTTGTCATTGTTTTCTGAATAACTGATATGTGCCAAAGTGATATATTCTGTAAGCTGGAGATGTAGCAATGAACAAAACTCTCTATGAGAATTTACTTTCCAGTCAGGGACAGACAATAAACAAATAAATGTGCATTATAATGTCAGCTAGTGATAAGTTACATAAGAAAAAATACAGCATAGCAAAGGGGTAGAAGTGGATGGGGCTGCTTTTAAAAGAGGGTTCCAGAAGCTTCTCTAAGGAGATGACATGTGAGCAGAGACTTGAACAGAGTGAAGGAGAAAGCCAAGCAGATATCTAGGAGCGTGCCAGGCAAGGGGCCGTCAGGGTCATCTGAATAGTCATTCTGAAGGATCGCTTTGGCTGCTATGTGGAGAATACACATTGTAGAGGGCAGGGCTGAAAACAGGGAGATCAGAGCAATAACCTGTTAGAAGAAAAAAGTAGAAGAAAAGATGTAATTAAAATAATAAAAGATAGAACCAAGAAATAAACTTACCAAAGCCAATATAAAGAAAATATTACACAGAAGACTTTGAACAAACACAAAAGCACACCACATTCTTAAATAATTAGACTCATGCTGTAAAGTTGTCTCTTTTACCTAGGATAGTCCACAAGTCTCACAGATTCCCAATGGAACTCCAGAAGAATTATTTTTAAATCAGGTAAACTAGTTCTAAGTCCCTATGAGAAGAAATCAGTTCTCAGGGAAATTCTGAAAAAGATACTAATGAGCAGATACTATGCCTATAGTATCAGGTTATAAACAAAAACATACTACAAAGTCTCAATAATTCAAATAGTATGGAACTGGCACATGACAGACAGATCAGATCAGTGGAGCAGAACTGAAGGTTCAGAAATAGACCCATGTGTATATGAAAATGTAGCATATGGCGAAGGTGACAAATCAGTAGGGAAAGATAGATTGTTTAATAGATGGTATTAGAACAACTGGTTAGCCATCTGGAAAAATAAACTTGGATCCATATCTCACTTCTTATACCAAGATAAATTCCAAGTGGACCAAAAATTTTAATGTAAAAATTATGTTTTGAAAATAACTTGTCATTGCTTTACGAAGTGCTTTTCATTCACTGTAGTTTTTGTAGAATAAACCAAAAAGGTTTCCACTGGATTTGGAGTAACATTCAGCTTTCAGGGAAGAGCCATCAGAGTAAAAGGGGATTTACTGAGATTCACGCTCTCCCCGGGCCAGGCTCTGTGCCAGGTTTTGACCCAAGACAAAGTAAAGAAAAATTTAAGTCCTGAAGAAAGAACAACTTTGATCAAATAGACTTAGGTGCAAATGTACACATTTGGTAGTTATTTAGCTTCTCTTTGTCTAAATGAACTGATCTAATCACGAATTTAGAAAAGTAGCTTTGCTAATAGTCCTTCAAACTCTCCTTTCCTCATTAGGCACACACAAAAGTGTTTCAATTATTTCTGCTCTAAACATAATTGATCTTCAAGAGTCCAACTGCTTCCCGGAAGCTCTATTTGAAACCATAGGACTGGTTACACTGACTTTTCAGTGTCTTAAAAACTACCACCACAGATCTTTTTCATATTCAAGTGCTAATGGCAAAGAGGTTGGCCTCAAGGTGGCCTCTTAAAAACAAGCTGTCAAATTGATTTGAGTGGTTGCTTTGTACAAATGCCTTTCTGAGGGGTAGAAACGCACTGTGTTGTTGTACTTCATTCACCAATTCTCAGTGTTTCTCTGTTTTTCTCCATAATACTGTGATCCATTTCAAGTTTAGGAGATTTTTGAGCAGGCACAGCAAGCCCTATTCATAAAGACTAATGGTAAATAATTCTAACTTTTGTAAGAATATCTTCTCCCTTGAGAACCTTGAGTTATGTCAAATATGTCCCCTAAATTGTCTTCCTAGTTAACCTTGCCTTGGGGAAAGCTTACGTATAAGTAAAAAATCAAGTGCAACAGAACTTATATAATATGATTCACTATTTGCAAACTCATAGATTCTTACTGGTCAATAATATTTCCAAAGTATAATAATGATATATAAAGGAAAGTAATATTCTCGAGCAGTTTTTCCATGTTAGTTCTTGCCCCAAATATCAACTAAAAGATTTTGTTATTTTATACCCCTTTATATCTGAAACATTTCTACATTTTCAAAAATTATAGAAAAGTTCCCTCTGCAAAGTAAATAAAAGTGGGGACTGCTCACCCTGGCCGGTTTGGCTCAGCGGTTAGACCGTCGGCCTGCGGTCCAGAGAGACCCAGGTTCGGTTCCCGCCAAGGGCACGTACCTCGGTTGCAGTTTGTCCCCGGCCCTGGTTGGTCGGGCGGATGGCAGCCACTCGATGTGTCCCTTTCACATCGATGTTTCTCTCTCTCTCTCTGTTCCTCTCTCTCCCTCCCACTCTACCTGAACAAAAAAATGGGAAAATGTCCTCAGTTGAGGATTAAAAAAAAAAAGTGGGGGCTGCTCTGATGAAGGACGTGAGCCCCCTTGCTCTTCCCTGTCAGCTTATCCCCAGCTCCCCTCACAGCCCCAGAGCACTGGCTGGCACCACGGCCGAAGGAGATTCCTTACAACCAAATTTTGTATGAGAACTGTACTGCAGGGTTTGAAGACATTCTCTGCCAGAGACCTGAAACACAGAAATTCTGTATTGCAAGTAAAGCGTAGCTCCATGTTTCAGTGCTCAGGGAAACTGAAGTAAAACTAACCTCGTGTTGAGAGTTAGAAGCCTGCATAAAAGGCCACCCACTTTTTTTCAGAGATGGCTAATCTGAAAATCTCAGAATTTTTATGTGTGTGTGTATGTGCACATATATGCACACATAAATAAATGTACATATTCTTTTGTGTAAAGCAAGACATAATATTTAAGTAGTCAACATGGCCCAGAATAAGTGACTTTTCTTATGCATTTAATCTATTCCTTTTCATTAGGTTGATGACAGCATTCAGAGGAGACAGCAAAGTAATTAAATTATTTGCAAAACACATAAAGGTAAGCAAAGGGCCTGTGGTTCTTGGTGGGAGGAAATGTTAATGATCCTTAAGGGTCACTTCTGGACCTCAGCTTTTCCCGCCAACCTCTGCTTATCTCCTCAGCAAGTGTTTTCTTTGGTGCTTCCTTATAGAGCATATTTAACAAACCATTCTGGTTTTCTTTGCATACCTACCTCTCCCCACAGTAGTCACACTCCTCCATGCTCTGAGATTCCTCTACAGAAGCTGAGCTTTGACTCTTGGACTCTTTAAAGATTTACCAGTGTTCTTCTCTCTTGATGTTAACCTTCTTTACCCTAGAAGTTGACCCTTTGCTTTTTAACTTTCTTAACTTTTAGATAAAATGCTCTAAATTGGCCTATGATTGCACTTTCTAATGACTCTTTGAAAGGAGTTTCTGCACCCAATTTCTAACATGTGAAGGGGGTGCGTCCTCACACATCCAACAAATAATTTGGACACCAGCTTGATGTCCTACAATTTAACTCAGTTCTGACATTCTCTACCTGGAAATACATCAGATTCTACAGGTTGAGAGCTCAGTCCTACAAGACTGTATACATACCCCCTAACCTCAACTTCTGACCAACTGATTGTAAATCAGAGGTTCCCACAACCCTCTCCTTGGATTTAGTTAATTTGCTAGAGTAGCTTGCAAAACTCAGAAACATTTTACCTACTAGATCTCTGGTTCTTTAAAAAATGTATAACTCAGGAACAGCCAGATGGAAGAGATGCATAGGGCAAGGAATGGGAGAGGGTGCAGAGCTCCCAGGTCCTCTCCCGGCACCCCACTCTCCCCAGTCTCCACTTGTTCACCCACTCACATTCTTCATACCTCTTCCTCTAAGGTTCTTTAATGGAGGCTTCAGTACATAGGCCATTGGCGAATGATTCAGCCTTCAGCCCCTCTCCCCTCCCTGGAGGTTGAGGGTAGGAGTGAAAGTTCCAGCCCTCTAATTATACAGTTGGTTCTCCTGGAACTGTCCCCATCCTCAGGTGCTTCCCAAAGTCACCTCGTTCAAATAACAAAAGACAGCTTTATCACACTCAACACTTAGGAAATTGCAAGGGCTTGGGGAGCTGTGAGTCAGGAACTGTGGATGAAACCCATGTTTATTTGAGAAATATATTTTGGTAGTTTGCCTCAATGTCACACTTTTCTTCATTTTCTTCCATCTTGGAATAGGTCCAGGAGCAGGTAAAGTTGCTGGAGAAGCGTGCTGTGCACCTGGGTGTAGGAACTCCAGGGAGGATTAAAGAGCTTGTTAAACAAGGTATGAAAAGAGCCAGTGATACTCTTCAGAGCTGGGGGTTTGCCTTACCCCCATGTGAGTTTTGGGGTACCACATGTGTGATGGAGTGAAACCAGGTCTCTGCATTAATTCAGGGGTTGGAAACTCTGCCGTTGGTCTCTGCAGTCAGCCAGCAGGTAGAATGGAATAGGGAATGGTAAGTACTGTGGCAGACTGAAGGTCAGGTGCCCACCCAAATACATTCAGAGTGCAATTGCTTAAGCAGGTTGGTGAGTCCACAATCAGTCCCATCAGTTTACACCCTCTGGAATTTGTTGAGCAGGATACGTGTGAGTATTTCCCTCTCACTTGAGTCTTGGTTCCCCAAGACTCCATTCCACTGGATAACTGATATATAAAACAGGTTGAAACAAAAATACAGTTTTTGTGGATCGAATACTGGTATTCTCGAATATTTCTCTCAAATGCATTTCTCTTTTAGTGCTTTACTCAGAGAGTATTCCAGACACCATCCACCTGCTAACTTGCTGATGAACTTATTCCCTGTTCTACCTGCCAGACAGACTAAAGATTTCTTGTCAATACTCATTTCCAAATTACTTCTTTAATATAGTAATACACATTGTTTTATAACTGACATGAGCTATTCCTGGATTTTAAAAAATATATCTAAAAGTAATGTGTTCATCAATATAATAACTCGGTATAGAGATGGTCATTTGCCAGAAAGCAAATGAAAACTAAAAGTACTAGTGTGTCTCTCCAGATGAAAGCCATCCAGGGTTAAATAAACCCACTGTATACAGAGCTCTGTGAAATTACAAGTAACAAACTGGAGGCCCCAGATGAGGAAGGAAAACAAATATTTTTTAAGTTCCTATTTGTGCTTAGCAGTATGATAGACACGCTCACTTCATGCAGTACTTACGTCATCCTTCTTCTTTTCTTTTTTTTTTTTTTTTTTTTTTATCCTCACCCGAGGACATTTTTCCAATTTTTGTACAGGTAGAGTGGGAGAGAGAGAGAGAGAGAGAGAGAGAGAGAGAGAGAGAAACATCGACGTGAAAGGGACACATCGAGTGGCTGCCACCCACACCACCAACCAGGGCCGGGGACAAACTGCAACCGAGGTACGTGCCCTTAGTGGGAACCGAACCCGGGTCTCTCCGGACCGCAGGCCGACGCTCTAACAGCTGAGCCAAACTGGCCAGGGCCATCCTTCTTATTTTCTATGAGAGAAAGCTAAAGCTCCCAAGGGTTAAGTGGCCCTCCCAAAGTCACTTGGTCTAGGCATTCCTGGATCCTGAGCCTTCCCCAATCACAGAGCTCCTGATCCCATTGAAGAGATAAGTACACATGGAATTAGGTTGACAATACAAGACAGTAAGGGCCAAGGGCCAAGTGAGCACTTCCGAATCTGGAGGAGTTGAAATGAGGGAGAGATTGATGTGCTAGCCGAGTCTGCAGGGAAAGCTCTACAGAGGAAAGCTGTTTTAACTGATCTTTAAAGTATGGGGAGGATTAAAATCGGGTCTTTGAAGTATGCAGATGTGAGAAAAGCGTTCAGGAACCAGAGAAAGGCTAAATCGGAGGAGAGCAGGCAGAGAGACACATGGTATACCTGGAGATGATAAGTAAGCAATACTGGGTTTAGTTAAGGAGCCCCTGTTGTGGACTAAGACTTCCAGATTCAGATCCCAGGTCCAGCAACTTACCATGCCAGCTCTGTGACCTTGGCAAGTTACCCTTTCTAAACCGGTTTCTTTCTCTAAATGACAGACAGTAATTGAATGCCAATAAAGACAGTGAGTGTCATCCTTTAAGAACTCAACAAATACTAGTTGTTATTTTTATTAAAGAGAGCACCTTTCTTACTCGGAGACTTCTAGCCAGTGATTTAACTGGAAAGAAAGTCAGATTGTGGAGGGAGGACCTTGAGCAGTAAGCTGAGGAGTTTGGATTTTTGTCTTGTGAACATAACAGGGCAATGAAAATGAAGGAATAGGTGAGCGGTGCTCACAGTCCATCTGTGAGGCACAGAGTTGGGAGAGCTGGGCTGAGCAGCAGGGAAGGCGAGGGATGGACGCCGCCTCTTCACAGCTCCCAGCCAGACATTCACCTCGCCCGTTCCTGGAGTGCAGATAGGTGTTTGTGTGTCACCAGGCCCCCATGCAGTAGGGCCACTCTTCTTTGTATTTAGAAGCGTGAGAGAGAAGCACAAAGCTGTACGGTGGTTGAAATTAGATTGTTACAGAATTCTGAGAGCTCAGTGTGAAAGATTATTTCATTTAAGGAGTGGAAAAATAATGTATAATACCAATAAAAATAACTTTAATTTCTGATTCTGGTTAGATGAATGGTTTAATATTCATTAAACACCCGTGTTTGGCTACATGCCAAGTATTTAAAGAGAATAATTCTAGCACTCTAGAAACTGAAAACCCAGCGAAGCAAGACAAATGGCACACCACTCATCTTAGCTGTTTGTGACTTAAGATGTTTATATGTATGATATGTTAAGGAGAGTTTCCAGACATCAAATATCTCATGACATTGGGATCTGTGCAAGTATAGACAGAATGGTATTATTTTAATTTAATAATAAAGGGGATTTTCTAACTATAAGAGCCTTTGAAAGTGCAGAAAGGTACAGAAAAGAAAATAATTCACTTTAGCCCTGGCCGGTTTGGCTCAGCGGTTAGAGCGTCGGCCTGCGGTCCTGAGAGACCCGGGTTCGGTTCCCGCTAAGGGCATGTACCTCGGTTGCAGTGTGTCCCCGGCCCTGGTCGGTTGTGCGGGTGGCAACCACTCGATGTGTCCCTTCACATCGATGTTTCTCTCTCTCTGTTCCTCTCTCTCCCTCCCACTCTACCTGAACAAAAAATGGAAAAATGTCCTCGGTTGAGGATTAAAAAAAAAAAAAAAAAAAAAGAAAATAATTCACTTTAGAGATAATCTTTTATTAGTTAATATTGAATATGTTTCCTTTTAGTGTTTTTTTCTGTGTATTTTATATATTTTTATAAGTAGAGCTCATACCATATATCAATGTTATGACCTACCTTTTCCTGTAATATATCTTATGAGGACTTGCCTTGTCATGAACTAGTTTAAATTTTTAATTTTTAATGACTATGTAATATTCTATTATAAAGTTATTGTTTTTTCCAGTTTTATTGAAATATAATTGACCTACAACATTATATTAGTCCAAGATGTACAATATCGTGATTTGATATATTTATATATGTTGCAAAATGATCATCTCAATAAGTTTAGCTAACATTAGTCACCTCATAGTTACATTTTTTTCTTGTGATAAGATTTTTTTTAAGATCTACTCTCTTAGCAACTTTCAAATATACAGTTGTTAACTGTAGCCACCATGCTATATATTACATCCCCAGAACGTATTTATATTATAACTGGAAGTTTTTACCTTTTGATCACCTTCATGCATTTCCCCCACCCTCACCTCTGGCAACCACCAGTCTGTTCTCTGTATCTATGAGTTCAGTTTTTCTATACTTCACATATAAGTGAAATCATACAATATTTCTCTTTCTCTATCTGATTTATTTCACTTAGTATAATGGCCTTAAGGTCCACCCATGTTGTTGCAAATGACAGGATTTCCTTCTTTTGTATGAATGAATAATATTCTATCGTGTATATATATCACTTTTTTTTTTTAATCCTCACCCAAGAATATTTTTCCATTTTATTTTCAGATAGAGTGAGAGGGAGAGAGAGAGAGAGAGAGAGAGAGAAACATCAATGTGAGAGAGACACATCGATCAGTTGCCTCCCGCACGACCTTGACCAGGGTTGAACTGCAACCGAGGTACATGTCCTTGACCGGAATCAAACCCGCGGCACTTTGGTCCATGGGCCAACGCTCTAACCGCTGAACCAAACTGGCCAGCGTTATATATTACCTTTTTGACCTTCATTCATTCATGGACAGTTCAAGTGTTTTTTTGTGTTGGTTATTGTAAATAATGCTGCAGTGAACATGGAGCTGCAAATACCTTTTCGAGATATGATTTCATTTCCTTTGGCTGTATACCCAAAACTGGGACAGCGGGATCTTTTTAATGTTTTGAGGAACTTCCATACTGTTTTCTGTAGTGGCTGCACCAGTTTACATTCCCACTAACAGTCTCAGTCCTTGCCAACACTTGTTATCTTTTGTCTTTTTGATAACAGGTAAGACGATATCTCATTGTGGTTTCGATTTGCATTTTCCTGATGATTAGTGATGTTGAGCATCTTTGCTTGTACTTGTTGGCCATTTGGATATCTTCCTTGGAAAAATGACTTTTCAGTTCCGCTGCCCATTTTTCATCAGATTTTTTTTTTGCTATCAAGTTATATGAGTTCTTTATGTATTTTGTATATTAAACCCAATTTATAGATTGCTTTTTAACAATTCTATTATGGTAAACTATTTGGGTTGTTTCTGATTTTTTTTCTATTATAAATAATACTTCAATGATCATCTTTGCAAGTAACTATGTTAAAATTTTTGATGTTTTTAATGGAATATGTCATAGAAGGAGAATTATTTTATGAAATAGGAAGCATTTTAAAGCTCCTTTTCTGTAATGCCCAGTTGCCACTAGCAGTGAATCATTTTTTAAGGGAAGACTATCAACCCATTGTCTTTTTTTGTTTATCATTTCTAATTTTTCAGAGAGTTTTAAATAAGAGGCATTGTAATTATAAGAAGCATGAAAAATTCCTTCGGGCAGAGAGGGAACTGTTGAAATGGTTCCGGAGGAAACCTGAAGGAGGGCCCTGCAGTTGTGTTTCCACACGAAACATGAAAGAGGTCGGGACAGTTGGGGAGAAGACGGGGAGTGAGAAGAGCTAACTGTGCCCGACTCAGACCTCTGAGAAGCAGACAATCCCTGAGGTCCCCTGGAGCCCCGCGTTCCATTGTTGTCTCTCAATAGACAGGAAGACTGTGGGAATGGAGTCCTTCAGTGGTTTACCAGTCTCCTTGAAGGATAGCAGCCTTTGAAGGGGGCTCATTCACCTTAACTTCCTGTCTGCTTAAAGTGATCCTCCCAACTCTGTCTTCATCCTTTGCTTACTCACCTCCTCAGTCATGCGGACTCAGGTCGACTCAACTCCTCGGAAGGGCCACCGCCCCAAACTGCAGGGATCTTATCAAATCCCTGTCAGGAATGAAACTTCATCCTCGGGGGCTTCCTGGAGGCTTGGGGTTGATTCTTTGCCTGCACTTGGGTATTTGACAAGTTCATCACCAGCAGCTTCCCTGCTTCTCAGAATCAGTGGTACAATTACCAGGAGCGAGCGAGTCTCGGAGTGCTGCATTTGTTTTCCATCAGGCGAGGGCAGCGTTTAATGTGAGATTAGTCTCTGGGGAAGAGGCAGCAAATGGGGAGAAAAGCAACCAGGAGCATACAAAGTCGTTTTAATTAGCTTATGTCACAAGGTCTTTACTGAAGCAACTCGCTCCCCGTCTCTTTCAGGTGGCCTTAATTTGAACCCCCTAAAGTTTCTGGTGTTTGACTGGAATTGGAGAGATCAGAAGTTGAGGAGGATGATGGATATTCCCGAGGTACTGTGTAACCAGCAATTGTCTTTCATCTTTATTTTTTTCTATTTGAACTTGTGTTCAACCACAAGAATAAAACTTTTGAAATGAGGAACCAGCACATTCTGGCCTTTGACAGTTACCCTAAAGTAACAATGTGTTTTCTAGGAATCAGCTTTGTTTCTTCATTAAATGACCCATAGCTTCTGCTGTACCAGGGCCCATATATGTCCATGCTGTATCTTTGAGAAACAGGCTCTGGAGGACTTGGTACCTTTCCCTGTGCCTTGCTTTAGAGACATGACCACCTTTGCTTTTCATTCTTATAAGTGCACTTGGAAGAGGGGGAACAAATTTGCCTCATTGCTCACGTCTCTGCATCTCCCAGAACCCACTTACTTAATTTAGAGGGCTATTTTGGTTTGGGGAGATGGGGAAATATCTTGATGTCTCAGTGGATTAAAACTGAATGACTTTGTGGGAAAGGCATTAGCACATTATATATTTATGAAAGTAATTCACTATCATCATACGGTGAAAAAATTGATTTGCCACCCACCATGTTATGGGGCTAATTTTCCAGTCTGGCCGATTGTTTACATGTAGTTGTTGGAGAGCAGAGGATTTATACAGTGGTTAACATGGCTGCTAGTCACCAACCAGGAATGAATCATGGCAACAACTGGCAAAGAGGCTTGGAATTACTCCTCCAACCATGCAGAATGAATGTGTTTACCACATAAAACTGTATTCCCAGAATGACCAAACCTGATTATAGTTGATTAGTGAATTAGATATCAGTTCAAGTTAAGAGACAGTTTTCTCAGTTTCCTACACCTATACGCGCGCGCACACACACACACACACACACACACACACTGCCCCCTGAACTGACTGGCTTTTTAAAACTGGTTTAACCAATTTAATGCTCAGCACATGAGGCCATATTTGATTATTTCAGCTTTAATGTTAAATCTGAGTAGCCCACCACTTATTTTCTAATTACAGTAATACAGAGAAATAGTAACAAAAAAACCCTTGTCACCCATAGTTATTTGCATTATGTTGATGTCATTAGCAGTTATTCTATATTGAAATATTGTCTATAATCTGGGCACACTTTGGATATCTTTGTGTGGGACCTTCTTGTATGAGGTTTTATTTTGAGTGGCTGCAAACAAAAGGGCGCTTGAGTAAAACTGGTGTTTTGTATCATACCTCTTCCTTTCTTGTGTAAATGTTCCAGCTCCGAATAAAATACAGGTCAGGATTTCTGCCATCCTTACTCTAGCCATACCAGCAAGTCCAGGAGGTTGAATTTATTCACCAAGACCCTCTTTTCTTGATCTTAACCCCGCTTTGGTCTTTTCTCTTACGTAGATAAAAAAGGAAGTTTTTGAACTTCTGGAAATGGGAGTCCTCAGTCTGTGCAAGTCAGAATCCTTGAAGCTGGGCCTTTTCTAAGTCTGTGTCCTGATGAAGATGCCAGTTTTCATAGTGGGATTTGCCTCTTCTTCAGTGGTGCCGGCACACTACAGACACTCAGCAAATATCAGCTGTTGTTCTATCACGTTAACTGCATCACCAGGTGGATCACTGGGAATGCATGGCCAAAATGAGTCTGTCCTTTGCCAACTCCCTGAATAATAAAGTATCACCAGCTTGTCTCTTACTGACTGGCCTCTGATGTGACTGTACAAGAGAAGGGAAAGAGCTCTGGGCAACCTTAGGCAAAATGCATCCCTCTCTGAGCCTCAGTTTCATCGGCTGCAAAGTGGGAATGATGTTCCACGGGACTGTTGAGGATTTCATGTGATGGTACATGGGGAACAGATTTGTAAGCTGAAGTCTGGTCCCGGTGTGAAGGGTGGCAGTAGTAGTAGGAGAAAGAGCTGCAAGTGTGCATGAGACTTTGTAAGCATAAAAGACAATAATAGAACTACAACTGTCTTACCCATTTACTTTTTAACTTGATATTTTGAAATAATTTCAGATTGACAGAAAAGTTACAAAAATAGTATAGAGAATCCCCATACATCCTTCCTCCACCTTTTCCCAATGTTAACATCATGTATAACCATGGTGCAGTTATCGAAACTCGGAAACCATTGTTGGTACCGTGCAATGAACTGAGCTGCAGACTTTATCCGACGTCACCGGTTTTTCCACTGCTGCCCGCTTTCTGCCCCAGGACCCAGTCAAGGGCTCCACGTTGCATGTAGTTGTCCTGGCTCCAGAGTTTGCTCAGACCAATGACTGCTCCCCAGTCTTCCCTTTGTTTCATGACCTTGACACTTTTCAAGAGTCCTGATAGGTATTTTGTAGAATGTTCTTCAATTTGAGTTTGTTAGTTGTTTTCTGCATTTTTTTAGCCAGAATACCACAGAAATGACATGTTTTTTTTGTTTTGTTTTTTATCCTCACCCGAGGCCATTTCTCCATTTTTGGTTTAGATAGAGCGGGAGGGAGGGAGAGAGAGAGAGAGAAACATTGACGTAAAAGGGACACATTGAGTGGCTGCCACCCACACAACCCAACCAGGGCCGGGGACAAACTGCAACTGAGGTACATGCCCTTAGTGGGAACAGAACCCAGGTCTCTCTGGACCGCAGGGCGACGCTCTAACCGCGGAGCCAAACCGGCCAGGGCGATATGTCCTTTTCAGTACATCATAGCGGTGGGTACATAATGCTGATTAGTCTGATTATTGGTGATATCGACCTTGTTCACCTGGTTATAGCAGTGCCACCTGGAGTTCCCCCCTGTAAAATTACTTTATTTCCCTTTATAATTAATATCTATCTTGGGGGAATATCTGTCTACTTTGAGGCTACACAAATGTCCTGTTTTCCCTCTCTATTTTTCCTACTGATTTTAGCAACATTAGTAGTTCTTACCTGAAACCATTATTACTGCAGTGATTTTTCTTTTTCCCTCGGTGCTTCAACATTTATTAATTGGAATTTTTTTGTAAGAAAGAGATGTCTCGCCCTGGCCGGTTTGGCTCAGCGGTTGGAGCGTCCGCCTGCGGTCTGGAGAGACCCGGGTTCGGTTCCCGCTAAGGGCACGTACCTCGGTTGCAGTTTGTCCCCGGCCCTGGTTGGTCGTGCGGGTGGCAGCCACTCGATGTGTCCCTTCGCGGCGATGTTTCTCTCACTCTCTCTTCCTCCCACTCTATCTGTACAAAAAATGGAAAAATGTCCTCGGGTGAGGATAAAAAAAAGAAAGAGATGTCTCTTTTCCCCATTTACTTGTTTGTTCACACGTTTATTTACCTCAGTTTAGATTCACGAATGTTTATTTTTTTCTTTGGGTTATAACCCAATACTATTGGTTTTTATTTTGTTGCTCAAATTCACTTACTTTTTTACTCATTTAAATAATGTTTGTTGATCACCCATTTATGTGAAACAATATTTAGGGCTTTCACTTACATATAGTCTGTCATGTTTAATCGTTGAAATAATCCTGAAGGAAAAGTATTATTAGTCACATTTTATAGATGTTGAAACTCAATCTCAGGAGGGACACACGGTAGTTTTAAGTAGCAGAACTAAAGGCCCCAGATCTGCCATATTCACTTCTGGACACTGTGATTGCCTTTGCGAGGGATTCAGGCATATATAGCAAGTAAGAGATTAAAAACAAACAAACAAAAAACCCACTACTGGTATATAAAAGTCCACTCTTGAATACTGTGAAAGTTAATGCGCCTGGCCATCTAGCAAATCAAACCCCACAAACACACCCCTCCGCACACCTGTGACTTGCTGCTAGGGCACCTCTGTCGTCTGGAAGCCACACACAGGGACTCAAAGGAGAGAAAAGCAGGTTCCATTCTGTAGAACCCTGACTCAGGCCCAGCCAGTTAGAGGAAAAAGAGAAAGAGCCACCACAATATGAAAATTTATTCAACTATGGCTAAACTTAGCCCTATTGTTTTCATCTCTTTAATCTTAACATGGTGAGAAAAAGAAATAGATCACAGGCCTTCCCAATACAGGCATTTAACTGTCTATCAATTAGTATGTCTTAGATTAATCTGGGAGAAGACATCAAGCATAATTATATAAGAGGACAGATTTGAACATTGAGACATCCAATCTGTACATTTCAGAATTCAAACCAATCCACTAAGCCACTGTTGACTTACCAAAACCAGAAAATGAGACCATCATGATTATTATGGCATATAACTATGTGTGGGTGTGAGTATGCCCCACATATATAACCACTTCCTGATTCTACCCTCATATTTAGTACATTTGCATCCCAGCAGTTAATAGGGAAAAGGCCATGAAATATGAGGCAACTCCATATACATAAAATGACTGGTAATGAAGAGGAGGCTAGCTACACAGCAGTTAAAGAGAACTGAAAGCAAGGACTTAAAAAATCACTGAAGTTTCTAATGATACTGCAACACAACAACTGCCAACAGACCGTCACATCCATATCAGTTCAGAGCAGTGCTGCTCAACCAGAGCAGCTTTTGCCCCCCAGGGGCCATTGGCAAAGTCTGAAGATATATTTGGTTGTCACCACTAGGGGGGCTACTACTGGCATCTAGTGGGGGTCGTGACTGGCATTTAGTGGGCAGAGGCCAGGGATACTTTCAATATTCTGTTTTGTTTTTTTTTTCATCCTCACCGGAGGACATTTTTCCATTTTTTACTCAGATAGAGCGGGAAGGAGAGAGAGAGGAAGAGAGAGAAACATCGATGTGAAAGGGACACATCGAGTGGCCGCCACCCACACGACCCAACCAGGGCCGGGGACAAACTGCAGCCAAGGTACATGCCCTTAGCGGGAACCGAACCCGGGTCTCTGTGGACCGCAGGCTGACGCTCTAACCGCTGAGCCAAACCGGCCAGGGCGATACTCTCAATATTCTGCAACCCTACAGGACAGCCCTCGCAGCATCGACATCTGGCCCAAATGCCAGTGTTGCTGAAGTTGAGGGGCCCTGTTCTAGACATTTGAAAAGCAGAGCATATGAAGTATAATTGTGTGCTTGAAATAGGTTTACTTAGAAAGTGAGAAATATATAAATACAGAAATACTTATTAAATGTGTATCCGGTGGTCTCTCAAGAAAGCTGCCCTGAAATGTTTTTCTTACCACCTGCGATGGCTAATTTTATGTGTCAACTTGGCCATAGGGTGCCCAGATAGTTGATCAAATATTATTCGAGTGTTTCTGTTAGGGTGTTTTTGGATGAAGTTAATATTTAAATTGGTGGACCTTAGTGAAGCAGACTGCCCTTCATAATGTGGGTGGGCCTCATTCTGTCATTTGAGGGCCTGAATAGAACAAAGGTTGAGTCTCCCCTCTCCCATCCCCCCACCAAGTAAGAAAGAATTCTGCCTTCCAACTGAAACATCAGCTCTTCCTGGCTGGTGGCCTTCAAACTGGAGCAACAGCTCTTCCTGGTTCTACAGCAGCTTTTGGCCTTCAGACTCCAACTGGGACATTAGTTCTACAGAGTTTGGACTTGCCGGCCTCCTCCATAATCACGTGAGCCAATTCCTTATAATCTCTCTCTCTCTGGGGGAAAAGTAGATTTATAGTTGTTGGTATGGAAAATAATATAGTAAGTAATAAATAATAATACATGAATAAACTCTGTTTCATGGACTTACAATTATAAGCCTACTTTTGCCCCACCCTATACATAATCTGTCGGTTCTGTTTCTCTGGAGAACACTAGCGTACTAGCTGTGAACCACCTTTAGCTTGGGGTTTTGATTAGTTGGGTTTTGTTATTTTATAAAAGTCCAAGAAATACAGTGCTTATTGATTTGTTACTATAATGACCCTTTTGCTAGGCATTTATCTATGTAGTATAATCCCAACCAATGTTGGATCAAGTACAGACATACCTGATTGCCACATATGTGATATTCTTTGGGCCAACCTTGTGCATGTAATCTAATCTTACAGGCTGTTACTGGCTTTTAAACTCAAGCTCTTGACCATGTTTATGTAGCAAAACAAATAGTAGTTATAAACTAGAAGTGTTCACTGCCATCTTCTCACACAAGGCTGCCTGATACCAACAGCCACACTACACTCGTTACCCCAGGAAGCCAGATTCAAATGCTGTGCTGAAGAGTTTACATTGGTATTGTGCTTTTTCCCCAGTTTTGCAAGTGGGAAGCTCTGACTCTTACAGTCCTAGTGTAAGTATTTGCATTTATTTTGTATTCTTTTAAACTAGGTACATTTGCCAAAGTCTTTGCCTTTAATACAAAAATAGCCCAGCATGGTTTCCCTGCCTGATGTTAATAAAAGAGGAAGATTAGAAACTCACCTAATTTTCTTTTCTTTTCTTTTTTTTTTTATCCTCACCCGAGGACATTTTTCCATTTTTTTTGTTCAGGTAGAGTGGGAGGGAGAGAGAGGAACAGAGAGAGAGAGAGAAACATCGATGTGAAAGGGACACATCGAGTGGCTGCCACCTGCACAACCGACCAGGGCCGGGGACAAACTGCAACCGAGGTACGTGCCCTTAGCGGGAACCGAACCCGGGTCTCTCAGGACCGCAGGCCGACGCTCTAACCGCTGAGCCAAACTGGCCAGGGCTAATTTTCTATTTTTTAAATTCTCACCCAAAGACACTTTTTCATTTATCCTCAGAGTGGGAGGAGGGAGACACGTTGATTGCCTGTCACACAACCCTGACCAGGGCTGGGCACAGACCTGCAACCAAGGTATGTGCTCTTTACCAGAATCAAACTTGTTACTCTTTGGTCCTTGGGATGATGTTTTAACCGCTAAGCACTACCAGACAGGGCATGAAACTCACCTAATTTTTAAAAATCCTAAATGCATCTTAAAAGGAAGTAGCCCGGCCAGTGTGGCTCAGTGGAATTGAGGGTTGTCCCATGGACTGAGAGGTCCTGGTTTGATTCCTGGTCCGGACACATGCCTGGGTTGTGAGATCAATCCCCAGTAGGGGGCATGCATGAGGCAGCCAATCGATGTTTCTCTCATATCTATGTTTCTGTCTATCCCTTCCTCTCTCTCTAAAAAAATCAATAAAAACATTTTTTTTTAAAGAAAAGGAAGTAATTAACAGCCTAATGAAAATGATGGTAGTGGTTTTCTAATAAGTGGGGGAGGGGGGAGACCAGAATCAATAATACCATATTATAATACTGAACATTTCATTGTTATCTATCTCTTTCTTTTGCCTCATTTGGGCTACTCCAAAGCATACACCTGGGACAATGTTAGGAGAAATGTTTTAATCTATAGTTTTTCACTCTAGTCTTTCTTGTGAATGAAAAAAAAAGGAAGCTATTGGGATTAGACATCTGTTCTATAATCCCTGTTTGCTTCTTTCTTTCTCTTTATCACAAATAGCAAAGCTAGCTGTAATTTAAGAGCATTTCCCCAACTTAATTTCTATTCATGTTACAGAATAGTCACATTTGGAACAAAGCTAACTTTTATTTTTTTGTATTAATTTTCAATGATTTAGGCAGGTGTTCAAAGATAAATTCATTTCCCTCCTTTCAGGAAGGTCTTGCCTTGAGTTAGTCACCACATCCCAGAAATAGCCCATTAGAACTGCTTTTCCAGTGTCACCAGATGCTGGTTTACCCAGAGCCTTCTGGGGAGCATTTCTCCTCAGCATGGCATTTAGCATAAACTTTGAACCTAATAAAATATACCTGGTAGTGGCTGATTGAAGAAAGCTGTGCTTCTGCTGAAAGTCAGGTCTGGTTAAGAAAAAATTCAGGAAGCCGAAAGACCACAACTACAAAGGAAGGTTCCTGTCCTTCTTAAGTAAATATTACCATTAGATAGGATTACTATGAGTAGTAAGTTTGTAAATGGTTTAAAAGTGTATCTCCATCACCTGCAGGACCAGAATGGAGAGGACGTCCCAGACATGGCGGTCCAGGCTGCCAGACAACACTGCCTTGAAGCAGCAGCGATTACCTGCCTACCGGCTGCATCTCTCAGCCTCCAAAGTCCTCTGTGGCTTCTTTGCCACAGGAGCATTCTGCCTTGGCATGGGCATCATCCTTATATTGTCTGCAAAGAGCATCAAGGAAATAGAGGTTTGTCTCTTCTTACACGTTTAATGCAATTTCTAAGAATTTTCTGCTTTGGGACTATAAATGAGTGGTCCGTTTGAGAACACAGCCCCACAACTGGGATTCAGTGAGAGTGGAACATCCCTGCTTCCACTGGCAGGGGCAGGCGGTAGCAGCCTCTGTGTGGTGGCCCTATTCATTCCTGTTCTCTCTTGAGGACAAATGACTGTCACACTGGTCAGCTCAGCCGTACTTATTAACAGGGGCCTGGGGAAGTCAGGTTTTATGCTGGCAGAGCACTGCGCAAGCAATGATAGAGATGGGAGGAGCGGCCAGGCCTTGCTGCCAGATGACCGTGAATTATATTGGTAAAAAGAGTGAAGAATCAAAGATAGAGGTCTTCGATTTTGCTCCACTTTGAAGCATAGTGTCTTTCCCTTTGCAAATGAACTTCCTCTGAGATCATCACTTCAATCTAGAAAAGGCAAGAACCCAAATCTTTCTGGCCTCTTAAGGACACTTAGCAAAATAAACCAAGTTCTACTCAATGAGAAAAGCTGAAGCTAAGGGCACACCCCTCAGTCAGCCTTTTGCCAACCTGATTAACAAGCTGTTAGAGGATGAGAAATCCAGAAGCTGATCTGGGGGGCGGGAGACGAGAGCTGCTGTTAAGGCTAAATTGGCTATGCCCATACATTCAGTCTAATGAAGGAAGTAAATGTCTTATTGAAATCAGCTCTGAGCAGATTACCAGGCATTCCAGACTGTGTGGCCTTCACTCCAAAAGCAGACATGGAAACTTGATCTTTTCCCTCTCCCCACATGGCTAGTGGCAATATTGTGAAGGTCAAGTCTGTCAACATTGATTTGACATTCATGATTGTGTGAAGGTGCTAAGAATTCTGTGGGGTATGCAGATGAGTCCGGTAAGGTAGTGATAGAGTCAGGAGACAGTGTGTGCCAAGAACGAAGAGCTCAGCCAGGGCTGGCTTGTTCACGGTGTCCACAGTGCCCTCCCTGTGCCTGGCCCAGGATACAACCACCACAACCTTATTGAAAGAATGGATGACAGCAAATAGTGAGGACTTCGAAACGGAGGACACTGGTTCAGGTCCCACTGCTCGTATTGCCTCCCTACTTGTATTTTATGCTGCCTCCTCCCAGCCCCCAGCAGCTTCTCTCCAGGAATTAAGTGCACCTTCACACAACTGAATCCCTGCCAGAGCTCACAGGATTTGCTCGTTTGGGACATGCTGCCCTTTTTTAAGAAGGCCACTCTATCATTTTCACAGAATTCAACGTTTAAAAAACAGAATGTTAACAACATTTTAAAATCAGGATTATTCCACATACGTCAATCACCCTACACTTTGGAAATAGTTATTTTTCTATGTTTGGTCATTTTATCTTATTTTATTTTATTATTATTTTCTTTTAATCCTCACTCGAGGATGGAGAGAGAGTGGGAGGGAGAGAGAAAGAGAAACATCGACATGAAAGGGACACATCAAGTGGCTGCCACCCGCCCGACCAACCAGGGCCGGGGACAAACTGCAACCAAGGTACATGCCCTTAGCGGGAACCAAACCCAGGTCTCTTTGGACCGCAGGCCGATGCTCTAACCGCTGAGCCAAACCAGCCAGGACTGTTTAGTCATTTTAAATAATGACCTCTAGATGCCATGTAGACGAATTTATTAGTATAAGTATTTTCCATACAATAAAATGGAAAAACAGTGAAGTGACTTCCCCATAAAACTGATTAGATTTAGGCCGTAGGCACACTCCTTATGCGATGTTGACTAATACTTTCCTAATGACACCTCTTTATGATCCAGGCATAAGGCTTCATCACAACAGGTTACATAAATAATCAGTAAAAACACTACATTCCAGGTCAGTGGCAAAATGTTGCAGGTCCCATAATGGAAGCCTGCACGAAGGTTCAGTCCTCCAGAGCCCGCCCTGTGCACTGGGCTGCCCTTACACTCATGGCAGACCACGCCAGGACCCAGAAAGCCTGAAGACTTGGATGGACCCAGGGCTAGAATTTTAAGATACATACTTACATAATTTATTTTTTTAATTAAATTTATTAGAGTGACATTGGTTAATAAGATTATATAGGTTTTAAAGGAACAGTGCTATGATACATGATCTGTATATTGTATTGTGTGCCCACCACCCAAAGTCAAATCTTCTTTATTGTTATTTTCCTTACCTGACAGATTAATTACACAAATATATGTGCAAATTGTGCAGAACTACGGGAAAACGCCATTAATTTTGACAAAGAATGCACCTGCTCCATTCCTTTTTACCTGCCAGAAACAATGCAAGTAAGTGAAATTCAAGAGCCTGCAACTGACTATATGCTGATCTCTTCCTATCTCACACCTGGCAGCACATGAGTTCCTGAACCTGAAAATACAAAAAATAAGGCTGGCGGGGAGGGTGAGGGTGGGGTTATAAATTTTGAGTCCATGTGCAACTACCCACCTCCTTACTTTTTTTTCCTTTGTAATTTTGTTCTCTTTTGTGTCTAAGTTTTCAGATTCTTTACCTACCCAACTTGTAACATAATTCTCAACACCAAAGAAACAAGTTTTACTCCAAGTATCAGCACAAGAGGGGATCATAGAGATCTCAGAATCTAACCACTCGTTTATAGCAAGAAAATTAATGGGCTGAGAGGTTAAGTGACTTGACCAAGGTCACACAGTGAGTTAGTGTCAGGGATCACACACCTGGTGGGACTTTTCTTAGGTCCCCCCAAGTCATGCTCCATGTGCAATTGCCTAATCCCTAAGGCAAGTCTTGGCCTGGCTGTCAGGCACTGTGAGAAATACCGAAGCATTATTAAGAGAGTCCCTGCTCTTGGGTTGATTGAAGTCATGTGTTAGTTAGACCACGTCCTCTGAGAAGCAGATGCCAAGACAGGATTAGACATGCAAGAGATTTATTGGGGGAACTGCCTGTAAGGGAAAATGGGGAGGGAGCTGGAGGAGACTGAGGGAGGTGTCAGACCACAACACAGCTCTGACCCCTGTAAAGGGGAGGGGAGGTGGGAGGGAAGGAAGGGGGAAAGAAGTAAGGCAACTAGGTCTTAAACAGTAATGCAGTCTGATGAAAGTTTCAACGGTGCTCTGTGAAATTCCTCGTGGATAAGTCCCCAGTGAGTCCTTGGTGCCTGTCAGCCCCCTGGACACAGGTGATGGGTCACTCCCTCATTCTTGACACACTTTCTTCTCTTGGCTTGAAAGAGACCACACTCTCTTGGAATTTCTCTAGCTCTCTGGCTGCCCTTCTTTGGTTTCTTTTCTGTTTATCCTGTTTTCCTCAAACTCTGTTAAGATCTGCAGGGTTTTAGTCTTAGTCTTCAATGTCCTCTCTATAAGCACTCACTTCCTTGGAAATGTCAGCAGCCTCCTGGCTTTAAATGCCATCAATTGCCAATGCTCTTTTATATTTCTAGCCCAGACCTCTCTACCACTGTCCACTATTGTATATCCAGTTGCCTTCCTGATGTTGAAATTTGGATGACTAACAAATATGTGAAGCTCAACATTTCCAAAACTGAACTCCTGACACCCGCTTCTTCCCCACCCCACCCCCCAAAAAAACCCATTGCCCCCACAGACTTCTCAATCTTAGCTGATAGCAGCTTCATCCTTCTGGTGCCCAGGAGTCATGCTTGACTCCTTCTGTTCTCTAACATCTCACATCCAATCCACCTGTTTACCTTCAAAACAGATCCAGCGTCTGCCCAGTTCTCCACGCCTGGCACTGCTTCCTCGCTCCACGCCACATTCAGCTCTCAGCTGGATTTCTGCAGTAGCCTCTACCTGGTCTCCCTGCTTATGTCTGTCTCAACAGAGCAGCTAAAGTAAGCTTTTTAAACCATAAGTCATATTATGTTATTCTTTTGCTTAAAAATTCCTGCAATGGCTCCTCTTTCCACCAAGTGGAAAAGCCTAAGCCTTTACAAGGCCCTACATGACACAGCTTCGTAGCCTCTCTGACATCATCTCTCCATTCTCTTCCACCACCCCAACACCAACCACACTGGACTCCTCATTCCTCAGACAACTTGGACATACCTTGCTTTGCTCCACTACCTGCTCTCCACTTGGCTAACTTCCCTAGCTCCTTCAGGTCTCGGCTCCGTGCTCACCTGCCTACGCGGGCCAGCGTGCTGCATACCGCACCGGTCTGCTCACTCCACCTCTGCACTCCTGATCTTTGTTGCCTTGCTGTAATTCCAACTCTTTCCAGAATACTTATCACCTCCGACTAAAATATAGAAATGAACAATTTATTATGTAGATGTAGTGTTTGTTTGCTCTTACTACAGTATCCCAAGCACCAGGAACAGTGCCTGGCACACTGTAGGGGCCCAATTATGTGTATTGAATAATCACGTGAATCTTTGCTTCTTCCACAGTGCATAGCACAGTGTACGTCACATGGTAGAGGCTCAGAAAATGTTTGCTAGAATATTAAATGAATGGAGGAAAGATACAGTGCTAAATTATATGGCTTTATATTTTAGAAGGCTTTGGTTTTAGGTGTCTCTGTCTTATTTCCCCTTTGATCTCAGAAGAAAGCATGGTGGTATCAGTAATATTCTAAACAAATCTGTATTGATTATGGGTAGCTGTAATCATTTTTTTAAGTCAGGTATTAATTACAAGGAAATTAATCAGTTGTACTTGGGTTATAACTGAAATCTATATAAAGTCAGGGGGGGATGTTTTACAAATGTGTTCTTTTATTGGAGTTCAAAATTATAGTTTCCTACAGCTGTACCCTTTCTTGCCTTCCTCAGCTCCCCATGCTGCCCCTACCCCCAAAGTAAAAGTTAGTGTCACTTAATTTGAAGGGAAGGCTAAAAACAACAGAAATTTATTTTCTCACAGCTCTGGATGAATAAAATCAATATGTCAAGCAGCGTTGTTCCTTCTTGGAGGCTCAGAGTACTTACATTTTTAAAGAAAGCAGTCCAAACGATAAAACCTTTAAAGGGCTTCAGTTCCCATCTGTCTGTGTCCTTTGAAACCCCAAAGGCAAATGAAGTGTTACCAGCTACTAACCATGCCTTTCAGGCAAAGATTTTCCCGTAAAAATCAAACCAACGGCTTAGGGCAATCACAGGGCCTTCCGCTCACCAGTGAGCACACAGGACATGCACTTGATGATGAAGTCATGTGATATTCTGACTTAAACTAGGAGTCCTGCACTAAGCACCACTGATTTAAGAGAAAAAACTGCATCAAGTATGTGCCTCCAGGACAAGTCAAAAAGGTGATGATTTTTGAGGCCTTGTTAATCTAAATCTTGAACAAAGAATCATTGAAAAGGGGTTGTTAAAGTACTCCTGTCCCTAGTGTGGTGTGGTCTCTGCCTGCTTATTTGATCATTTATGTGAATATATAACTTTGGGTAAGTAGAATTCTCTTTTTAGCTTCCAAGGAAATGTATGGTGCATTCCTTTCTGTGGATTTCATATTTTCTATAGTTAAGGGTCAACAATGGAAGCTTCCTCTTTGGGTGAGGAAATGAATTAGTCATTCTCACCATACCTGGCTTACTCCCCTTCACATCCATGCTGTTTATTATGTTGCAGCCTGCCTCTGCTGCGGCCTGGCATCTCCCCTTCTCTGCGTTCCAAAGAGTTTTCTCTTACCAGTGATTAAGCTTGCTGGCTTTTGTTGTTTTCTGTACCTGGCCACACTTACCATGACCTTTATTTCCAGCCTGCCCTGGGTACCAGCTCCCATTTTCCATTTTCAACCTCTTAAAGATCTATAGGGTGGGGCCGAAAGCCTATCCAAATGCTGTTTTTTGCATAGTGTAAGAAAACCAATGGACTTGGGGAACTGTAAAGGAATATGTTTGTATTTCTGGCACTGACTATATATAGCACCTGACATGTGGGAGGCACTTTATTTTTGTTTTTTAATTTATTTTTTTCTTTATTGATTTTAGAGAAAGAGGAAGGGAGAGGGAGAGAGAGATGAAAACATTGATGAGAGAGAACATCAATTGGCCGCCTCCTACATGTCCCCCACTGGGGATCAGGCCCACAACCTGGACATGTGCCCTGACTGGGAATAGGACTTGTGACCTCTTGGTGCATGGGTCGATGCTCAACCACTGAGCCACACCGGCCAGGTGGGAGACACTTTAAATAAATCTTAAGCCATTATATATTTTTGGATGCAGGCCTCATTATTTGGGAGGGAGCTCATATATTAATTATAAACAGCTACATTGACCATTTCTATTTGCATTATATATGCTGTTAGTAAAATCTGTATCAAGTCGACCTCGAGAATTTCCAGGGCCTGAGCATGTCACCGTGAAGGTAGAAGCATGAGCAGCGTGTGACTGGGCCACCTGGTACAGCTGCACACGTGACAAGGCCTCTCTCTGATGGCAACAAGGCTGCTTATAGCTAAGGGGAAAATCATCTTTTTTTGGATCAGTGAATTATTCCTTCTTTTTGTCCATAACAAGTGGTTTGCCATTTCTTGAGCTCCTAGGGATAAAAAGACAAAAACACCAGGGGCCAGTCTTGTGCTTTGCACATGCCCAATCAATATGCACCTAAATATGCCAGTGGCTCTGATTTTAGATGATGCCTTGTGGGTTTGCTTTGAAATCACATGCCTTTGACACCTACCACAACCCCTAGGAAAATGTTTTTCCTAGTATCACTGGGAAATAACAATATTTGTAAAATCAAATTTTATATATTAAGAATACAAAACCTGATTATAAAAATTTTCAAGGCAGGAGTGCAGTAGCCCTTATAAAAACATTACAAATAAGTTGTTTAGTCATTTTAATAATTCTTTATAGACCAGGATTTTCTAACACTGATATTTATTTATTTATTTATTTATTTATTTATTTATTTATTTATTTATTTTTTCAAGTCCAGTTGGCATTCAATATTATGTCCAACATTGTTTTTTGTTGTTGTTCTTTTAATTTGGGTGAGCAACACTTTTTTTTTCAATTCTCACCTGAGGCTATGTTTATTGATTTCAGAGAGAGGAAGGGAGAGAGAGAGAGAGAGGAGGGAGGGAGGGAAGGGGAAGGAGAGAGAGAATAAGAGAAAGGAAGGGAGGAAGGGAGGGAGAGGGAGAGAGGAAAGAAGGAAAAAAGGAAGGAAGGGAGAGAGAGAAACATCAGGGGGAGAAAGAAACATTGATCTGTTGCCTCCTGTACTGCCCTGACCTGGGATGGAATGCGAAACCTAGGTATGTGCCCTCACTGGGAATCAAGCCCCAAACCTTTTGGTGTGTGGAACAATACTCCAACCAAATGAGCTACCTGGCCAGGGCTCCAACATGGATTTGTTGTTGTTGTTAATCCCCAGCAGAGGATATTTTTTCCATTGAGTTTTAGAGAGTAGAAGGGGGAGGGAGAGAGAGAGAAAGAGAGATGTGAGGGAGACACGTTGATCCCACACAGGCCCCTGCAACCCAGGTATATGCCTCTGACCACTAATCAAATCCAAGACCCTTCATTTCAAAAGCCGACATTCTAACAACTGAGCAATGACAGGCAGGGCTCCAACATTGATTTTTTAAAATGATTTCTTGGGCCCTGGCCAGTTTGGCTCAGCGGTTAGAGCGTCGGCCTGTGGTCCGGAGAGACCCGGGTTCGGTTCCCGCTAAGGGCACGTACTTCGGTTGCAGTTTGTCCCCGGCCCTGGTTGGTCCTGCGGGTGGCAGCCACTCGATGTGTCCCTTCACATCGATGTTTCTCTCTCTCTCTCCCTTCCTCTCTCTCCCTCCCACTCTATCTGTACAAAAAATGGAAAAATATCCTCGGGTGAGGATAAAAAAAAAAAAGAAAAAAAAAATGATTTCTTGGGTTTCTACTTGATATAAACTTTCAGTTTCCATCATTTTTTTTTCTTTACTACTTTTTATATTTTGAAAATCCTGTCCATGTTTATTAATGTTCCAGTTTATTTTTCTTACTTCCTTCTTACTTTTTACTTTTCTCCTTTACAGGGTAATGTTTATATGTACTACAAATTGTATGGCTTCCATCAGAACCTCTATAGATATATGCTATCCAGAAGTAATAGCCAACTGTTGGGTAGAAATATAAAGGTAAGGCTTTATTTACTTTGGCACAATAGTCCATTTTAAAACCAGATGGATCATCCTGGCCAGTTTGGCTCCGCAGTTAGAGTGTCGGCCCACAGACCAAAGGGTCTCGGGTTCAATTCCCAGTCAAGGGCATGTACCTGGGTTGCAAGTTTGATCCCCACCACCAGTCGAGGTTGTGGGTTGTGTGGGAGGCAGCCAGTCGATGTCTCACTCACATTATTCTTTCTCTCTCTCTCTCTCTCCTTCCCTCCCTCCTTCCCTCCCTCCCTCCCTCCTTCCCTTCCACTTTATCTCAAATTAATGAAAAAATATCCTCAGGTGAGGATTAACAAAAATAAAATAAAATAGCTGAGGCTTCTGAAGTCTGGGCTTCAAGCAGAAACAAAATTTTAAAAAATATAAAAAGAAAAAAAATAAAACCAGATGGATCTTTTCATCTAAATGAGAGTATGTAAAATAAACTCAAAAGCTGAGCTTTCCACAAGATAGAAATGCATATTTCATTCTTGCATAAATTGAAGGGAATGCGTATTCAGGATAACTGCTACTGAAGAAAGGAGTACTTTCCCTCTTCAGAGCAGTCATGTGAATCTTGTCTAATTAAAGGGTTATATTTTTATGCACCAACCACTTTTTTTATTTGACAGAGTTTTATATTGAAACTGGATACATATTGGATCGTTCAAATCTTGGTAATAATGAATATGTCAGAAGGGCAAATCTTCAAATACCTTTCAACCACAATTCAGGATTTTGTTTCTGTTAATAAAGTTGATGGCATACTAGATTGACACATAAATTAGATTTTGATATTATTTCTTTACACTTAATATCTGTAGTTATCTTTAAAGTTGCCCATTTTAGTTGATGGATTCACCAACCATTTTGATAGTAACTCAGAGATATTTGTCTTAGTCTGGCTCACACTATATCTGGCATTTTCTCTCCTATAATTGGGGCCTTCAGTCCAGCCAAGTTTAAGGAAATTGGGCTCCACTTGAGTAAAAGCCTTTGGTGTAATTGAATACCCTTGTAGACCTAGAGGCAAAATTGTATTCTTGATAGGTAATATTTAATTAACATGCTAGCAAGAAAAGCTAGAAGGAGCCCTGGCTGGTTTGTCTCAGCGGTTAGAGCATCGGCCCCTGGATCAGAGAGTCCCAGGTTCGGTTCCCACTAAGAGTACATACCTCAGTTGTAGTTCGTCCCCGGCCCCAGTTGGGGTTGTGTGGGTGGCAACCAGTCAATGTGTCTCTCTCACATAGATGTTTCTCTCTTTCTCTTCCTCCCTCTCTCCCTCCCACTTTATCTGAAGATAAATGCAAAACAAATTGTCCTCAAGTGAGGATAAAAAAAAGAAGAAAGAAAAAAAGCTAGAAGGAAACCTTTTTTCTATACTGACACTATTATATAAAAGTGATACATGATTTTTTTTTTTTTTATCCTCACCGAGGACATTTTTCCATTTTTTGTTCGGATAGAGTAGGAGGGAGAGAGAGGAAGAGAGAGAGAGAAACATCGATATGAAAGGTACACATCAAGTGGCTGCCACCCGCAAGACCCAACCTGGGCTGGGGACAAACTGCAACCGTGGTATATGCCCTTAGTGGGAACAGAACCCGGGTCTCTCTGCACCGCAGGCCAACGCTCTAACCGTGGAGCCAAACCAGCCAGGGCTGATACATAATTTTTAGCAACCATTCTTTGTTGTTGCTTTTTTGATATTTTTATTAATTTATTTTTATTACACATGTTTCTCTTTTTTCCCCTCCTAGACACCCTCCTCCCTATCCTGCCCCCTACCCAGCATTGTTGTCTATGTCCATTGGTTATGCCTATGTAGCGGCGATTCTTTTAAAAATATGTTCTGGTTTTTACCTAGATGGATTCTCCGTAATAAGTCATCTAGCTATAAACACATAATTTTTATACGTTTTGGAATATAAATTACGCTTCAATAAAAGCAGATTTGAAAGGTATTCAAGTATAGATTTAGGGTGATATTTGGCATAGCTAGCAAGGTAAAGTTCCTTCCTACAGGCATATTTGGCCTGCTATGTATTGTTAATGGGGGGGGGGGGAACTTCATGTGTGTGCACGCGCGTCCGCACACACGCACACCCCTCCAAGACACAAAAATGTTTTGGTCTAAGTGAGCTGGAAGCCTGGGAAAAGTCAGTTAGTAGCCCATAATCTTGGTCTGTGCCAATAAATCTGTGTGGGTTCATTGACATTGCCAGTGTTCTCACTTTCAACATTCTAAGGGAGTTTAGCAAAAGCACTTCTCAATCATGTGTCATCTTGTGTCCAGGATGTTAGAAGCTGTGATTCATTCAAAAAGACCCACAATGGAACGCCCATCTGTCCTTGTGGAGCTATTGCCAACAGCATATTCAATGGTAGGTGATTCTATTCCGTGGTGTGCCCTTTCATAAGTGTGTAACCTGAATGTTCAGAAAATCATCTCTGCAGCAGAGTGGCAGGTTTGTTTTTTCTTATTTAAAAAACTGTATTCATTATTTACTGACTTGTCATATTTCCTTTGCAAGGAAGTTCTTCCTTACCAGAGATTCAAAGTAGTTAGAGACATGAGTTCAATTAAGCTGAAAAGTATTTTTCAATAATTGGGGCCTCGGCAAGAAAATTTATATAAAAACAGTATTGTAATTCCAGCATCTATGGCATTTGGCATGTTGAGAGTCGGCTAAAACCCTGGCTTATTTTTCATGTCTAGTTTTGCATGTCAAAGGGTGGCAACAATTCTTGCTTGCATCTCTAACACAAATTTTAATTTCCTTACAGACACCATTATTCTTTCATACAACCTTAATTCATCTATACACATCAAAGTCCCAATGCTATCGAGAGGAATTACGTGGTGGACAGATAAGTTCATCAAGTTTCAGAATCCAACTTCCAAAAATCTTCCTAGTGCATTTGCAGGTAAGATCCATACATTAGCTTAATATTTTTTATCTGTTTTGCAGAAACTTTGTTTTTAATGTGTGAGGTGATATTTATGATTCTTCCATCTTTTCTTCTTTGTTGAATTCCTTTTTATTCTAACTTTCCCTACCTATGGGCACCTCCATCACATACCTATCAGAAACATGAAATAATTGGTGCCCTGGATCCTTCAAGTTTACCATTAGTAAAAAGGCAGTGTTTTAAGAAACTTGTTGCTTCGTCTAAAATTAGGGTGGCCACGTAATTTACTGTCTGACTGGTGCACTTTTGAGAATGAAAGAGGGCACTAGAATAACTAAAGTTACATATTTGTTTGAACTTTTTATTTATTGATCAATAAACTGACATTACCATTTTGATAGACCTTACAAGCTACTTTATTTATTTATTTATTTATTTTTATTTTTGTTACAGATGTTTCTCTTTTCTACCCACATTGACTCTCTCCTCGCTATCCCCTCCCACCCCGTCCCCAGTTTTGTTGTCTATGTCCATCGGTTATACATACATACATATGGGTTCTGTGGTTTATCCCTTCCCTCCCCCCACTTCTGAGGAAAATCAGTCTGTACTCTACCTCTATGTCTCTGGATCGATTTTGTTCATCAGTTTATTTAGTTCATTATATTCCAGAAATAAGTGAGATCATGTGATATTTGTCTTTCTCTGCTTGGCTTGTTTTACTTAGGATAATACTTTCCAGGTCCCTCCATGTCATCTCAAAGGATAAGAGATCTTTCTTTCTTACAGTTACAAGCTACTTTAAAAATGAAACTATTTAAAATATTAAAATAACATGTTTGTGTACATTAAACCAAATAAAAAAAGCTAATATCTAAACATTAAAAAGTAACATAAGCAGAATAATAATTTTTGATACATAGTCACACACTTTTATCAGTTTCTTAGCCATATCTGTCTTTATTACATACCCCTGTATTTTTCTAATTAATTTTTTATTCTTTTAAAAACTATTTTATTAAAATATTTTTTTAACTTTTTCACAAAATTGTCTACAGTCTTTTTTAAAATTGCATTTTATGGTTAATCAGTTTTAACTTGTTAACACCATTTATTGATTCCTCTCTTTTGTCTCAAATGTTTTTTTTTGTTGTTTTTTTTTTTAATTTATTTTTTTAATCCTCACCCAAGGATATTTTTCCATTTTTTGTACAGATAGAGTGGGAGGGAGAGAGAGGAAGAGAGAGAGAGAGAGAGAGAGAAACATCGACGTGAAGGGACACATCGAGTGGCTGCCACCCGCACGACCAACCAGGGCCGGGGATAAACTGCAACCAAAGTACGTGCCCTTAGCGGGAACCGAATCCGGGTCTCTCCAGACCGCAGGCCGACGCTCTAACCGCTGAGCCAAACCGGCCAGGGCTCAAATGTTTTTTTTAATTGAGAAAATATCTATAGGTGCTGAGGTACCTATTATGCTCACAGCCAATTTTAGTACATGGAGGATATTCTCAGTTTCTGTTTTTTTGTATTGAAATATGTTAATATTGTGACCCAAATATTTTAATAAGGACTGTCTTTTTTACTTCATATTTTTTCTATTTATAATTCTTTTGAATGTATTACTAAATTTAGATGCTATAAAATCTTAAACCTTCTTGATGTCATTTAATTCTGATAGAGAAGAAAATTTTATTTAGTTAAAAATAGGAGCTCTGTCAAAATATACATTGACATATCCTAAAGCACAATTATATAATTTAAATCATTTTGAACTCTCATTATATAATATGTTAAATTATTTCCTTGCCTTTATAGGGGTAAATTTCTATATCTTCTTGTTTGCAATTTACTAAATCTTCAAAAACTAAAGTTCTTTGGCTTTTCCATATTTCAGATACTTTTACATTTTCTTCAACGATTTTGAACAAAAATCAACCAAAAGTGAGATAGCATGTTTACCAAAAAAAGTTCAGAATTACTGTAGGATGCATCGTTTGATATACAAAATGTGGGAGACTGTTTGCATGGCATCCATTTTGCAAAAATCTGCTCTGCCATCTCCTGCCCCAAAGCAGGATATCTCTGCATCTCTGCATACAATGTTTCTGCATTCCTTTAAGTAACCATTTACTCAGCCAGTTATGCTCTGTTTGTCTTTTGTTCCACCTGTGATATTTACATGATATTTACTTGAAATTGCTTCAGGGTGGTCACCACAGACCTAGCTTGGCAACAAATGTTCTTGTTTTTCTGCTTCTTGCCCTATATATAGTGTGGATCTCCCCAGAATAAACTAGACTTGATCAGAGCCCTGTCTTGTCTCCATTTCTGTGTCTCTTGTCCCTCCTCATCCTCACTCCCCCTCTAGAGTCCTCATTGCTCCACCTGCGGGATGGGTCAACAAACTAGTTCTTCAAGGGCTCAAACATTTCTAAAATTCTGGTTGGTGATGTGTAAAAAGACAGACCACATGTACTCCCATGCTGAAGCATTTCTTTGATTTAGCATCCATGTCATTGTAAAAATTTTGCAGTTTAGTTTATCTAACTGAATATATAAAAATACTCAACTTTGCACAACTACAGCTCTTATTTTGATTAATAAAATATTGTAGCTTGTTTAGGTATAATTGTGAATTGTATATGTACCTTAAGCAATTTTAAGTACATTTCTCTGTAGATTTCTCAATTAACTAATAAAATTATCTATACTGGATGTTGTGTTCCACCAAATTTGCATTTAAGTTATCATTACAAAACCAAAAAGTTTACATTTGATTGTTGAATTTTTTAATTGAATTTATAGTAATAGTTATTACAATGTCAAAGATTTTATCTTCCACAATTGAATATCGAAAAGGTTTGCACTGATTCCATGAAGAATCAAACCAAAAAAAAAAAACAGGCCATTCTTATAATTAACTTATTCTGGTTTTCTATTTGGAGCATCTGAAGACATTGATATAAAAAACTGGCCTCATTTAACTGTTTACAAAGTTTTTTTGTGCTAGTGGAGTCAACACATTAAAGGTTTCTTTTGATTACAAATAATAAAAATTCTAATAAAAAAAGTGAAACTAGAAGGAAACTCATTTGACCTAAATGAAAAGTCAAGTCATGCCCACATAATGACATAAATGGATCTTCTATAACTACACGAGGTAAAGCATTGTCTTTGGATACATTCTTTACAAAATAAGCGTAAACTTTTGAAGTAGATTCTGAGGTTCTGCAGCAGATTTATGTCTTTTGATTTTCATGCAGATCAATGACATCATGATGGTTCCCATGGTGGGGGGAGTAAATGCCAACAAAATCTGCAAGTATCACATCCATCAACTTTCTTGAGAAACTGTACTTAATTTTACATCAAACATATATGTTCCATTAACTCTTTACAGCTAAAGGGATTTACTAGCAAATAAAAAAAACAGGTATCAAACAATAAAATAGTTTTATATTTGCATTATGTAATAAATAACAAAAACCAGTGTTGCAAGAGAATTGAAACTACTCTCAGCAAGACCGCTCAGCATCTATTTCCCACACTATGTCATGTACATATAACATAACCTATAATTTCCCACACTTCCCACTGATGCCGCTGACTTGTAGTCTCACATACTTATGCATCTCAAAGGCCAAGACAGGCTCTGGCCCACCTGGCTAGAATGTCAAGCAGCTGGCAGGGTTCACCGGGATATGTTCTTTTGACTAAAAGGGTCTCTGGTGATCTTTCACTAATCACATGTTAAAGTAAGCACTCCATTCACTTGCACATGGGTATCTCACACACCGTGAACATTATTTGTTTGGGATAAGTGCTAAATTAGATGGGATAACAGACAACAGGCATAAACTGGGACTGTCTTAGGCAAAATGGCATGTATGGTCACTATATAACTGAATTTCTAGGTTTGGGGCTTTTTTTTTCCTTTACTTTTATTAGCATTTATTTTATGCTGAATTTATTTCTGGTCCATAGTTTTTTAAATTGAATTTATAGGGATGCCATTGATTAATAAAACCATACAGGTTTCACGTATAAAATTTGGTGAAACTTCCTCTGCGTATTGCATCATGTGCTCATCGCCCAAAATCAAGTCTTTTTCCATCCCCATTTATCCCCCCTTTGCCCTCTTCCACTCCCCCCACCCCCATTTCCCTCTGGCTGTCACTACACTGTTGTCCATGTCTATATGTCACATATACTTTTTGTTTAATCCCTTTACCTCTTTTCACCCAGTCCTCCAACCCTCTCCTCTCTGACAGCTGTCAGTCTGTTCAGTGTATCTAGGCTTCTGTTTCTATTTTGTTTGTTAAATTATTTTATTCATTAAATTCCACATGTAAGTGAGATCATATGTTTATTTCCCACTAGTTTATTTCACTTAGCATAATACTCTCTAGGTCCATTCATGCTGTCACCAAAGGTAAGATTTTCTTCTTTGTTATAGCTGAGTAATATTCTGTTGTGTATTTGCTACAGCTTTTTTATCCAGTCGTCTACTGATGGGCACTTGGGCTGTTTCCAGATCTTGGCTATTATAAATAATGCTGCAATGAACATAGGGGTGCATATATTCTTTAAAATTAGTGTCTTGAGTTTCTTTGAGTATAGTCTCAGAAGTGAGATCACTGGGTCAAAAGGTAGTTCCATTTTTAATTTTTTGAGGAAACTCCATATTGTTTTCCACAGTGGCTGCACCAGTCTGCATTCCCACCAGCGGTGTACTAGAGTCTCCTTTTCTCCACATCCTCTCCAGCACTTGTTTGATTTATTAATAGTAGCCATTCTGATAGGCATGAGGTGATATCTCACTGTGGTTTTAATTTGTATCTCTCTGATGATTAGTGTCCCTGAGCAATTTTTTAAATAATTTTTTTCTATTGATTTTTTTTTTTTAGAGAGAGAGGAAGGGAGAGAGAGAGAGAGATAGAAACATCGATGAGAGAGAACATCGATTGGCCGTCCCAGCAGGCCCCCACACTGGGGATTTGGCCCACTGGATA